AAAAAAATGCCCATGTTTGCCCATCTCCTGAAATTTAAGAATTTAAAAAAATTATCGTTTGCCCACCTCTTAAAAATAGTTAATTTTGACAAAAAAAATTTGCCCACCCCTAAAATAAAGAAATTAACAACAAAAAAATGTAATAGGTATTATTTATTATTATTTATTGCGTCTTTTATTTATTGTAGGCTTAGTTTACTTTAGTTTAGGCTTATTTTACTTTAGGTTAGGCTTATTTTACTTAGTTAATTAATAGAGATAGTTTAATATTGAAAACATTTTGTAGCCTGTCATTTGGTGCTTGTTTTCAATATTTAACTATCTGCTTAAATTATCAACTCATAAATGTAATTACTTCGTTCCACTTATACCTATCGTGTTTTTTTTTATTAAATCGATTTTTTTTATATGTTTAAGGTATTATTTTTAAGTTATACTTTTTGTAGCAGGCCAGTTAATATAAGTATGCTCTGGCCACTATATTCCTTGAGTTACGCTCTCTCGAGAGAGCATGTTACTCTCTCAAGAGAGCGCCTCTCGCGAAAACGGGGGTTGAAAGCAAGCTGCCTGCGAGCAGTGAGATCACTTGGTTATGAGAGAGCGAAACAGAAGAGGATACAAAAGTGAACTTAAGCTAAAACTAAAGTAAAATAAGCCTAAACTAAAGTAAAATAAGCCTAAACTAAAGTAAACTAAGCCTACAATAAATAAAAGACGCAATAAATAATAATAAATAATACCTATTAAATTTTTTTGTTGTTAATTTCTTTATTTTAGGGGTGGGCAAATGTTTTTTGTCAAAATAAACTATTTTTAAGAGGTGGGTAAACGATAATTTTTTTATATTCTTAAATTTCAGGAGATGGGCAAACATGAGCATTTTTTATTTTTTCGAAAAAACGATTTTTAAGGGGTTTGCAAACGTTTTTTGTTAAAAATCTCGTGTTTAAGCCGTCGGCAAACGTTTTTGTCAAAATTAACTATTTTTAAGAGGTGGGCAAACGATAATTTTTTAAATTCTTAAATTTCAGGAGATGGGCAAACATGGGCATTTTTTTTTTTTTTAAAAAACGATTTTTAAGGGGTGGGCAAACGTTTTTTGTTAAAAATCTTTTGTTTAAGCCGTTGGCAAACGTTTTTGTCAAAATTAACTATTTTTAAGAGGTGGGCAAACGATAATTTTTTAAATTCTTAAATTTCAGGAGATGGGCAAACATGGGCATCTTTTTTTTTTTCAAAAAAACGATTTTTAAGGGGTGGGCAAACGTTTTTTGTTAAAAATCTCGTGTTTAAGCCGTCGGCAAACGTTTTTGTCAAAATTAACTATTTTTAAGAGGTGGGCAAACGATAATTTTTTAAATTCTTAAATTTCAGGAGATGGGCAAACATGAGCATTTTTTATTTTTTCGAAAAAACGATTTTTAAGGGGTTTGCAAACGTTTTTTGTTAAAAATCTCGTGTTTAAGCCGTCGGCAAACGTTTTTGTCAAAATTAACTATTTTTAAGAGGTGGGCAAACGATAATTTTTTAAATTCTTAAATTTCAGGAGATGGGCAAACATGGGCATTTTTTATTTTTTCGAAAAAACGATTTTTAAGGGGTGGGCAAACGTTTTTTGTTAAAAATCTCTTGTTTAAGCCGTCGGCAAACGTTTTTGTCAAAATTAACTACTTTTAAGAGGTGGGCAAACGATAATTTTTTTAAATTCTTAAATTTCAGGAGATGGGCAAACATGGACATTTTTTATTTTTTCGAAAAAAACGATTTTTAAGGGGTGGGCAAACGTTTTTTGTTAAAAATCTCGTGTTTAAGCCGTCGGCAAACGTTTTTGTCAAAATTAACTTATTTTAAGAGTTGGGCAAACGATAATTTTTTTAAATTCTTAAATTTCAGGAGATGGGCAAACATGGGCATTTTTTATTTTTTCGAAAAAACGATTTTTAAGGGGTGGGCAAACGTTTTTTGTTAAAAATCTCGTGTTTAAGCCGTTGGCAAACGTTTTTGTCAAAATTAACTATTTTTAAGAGGTGGGCAAACGATTTTTTTTTTAAATTCTTAAATTTCAGGAGATGGGCAAACATGGGCATCTTTTATTTTTTCGAAAAAACGATTTTTAAGGGGTGGGCAAACGTTTTTTGTTAAAAATCTCGTGTTTAAGCCGTCGGCAAACGTTTTTGTCAAAATTAACTATTTTTAAGAGGTGGGCAAACGATAATTTTTTTTAATTCTTAAATTTCAGGAGATGGGCCAACATGGGCATTTTTTATTTTTTCGAAAAAACGATTTTTAAGGGGTTTTGTTAAAAATCTCGTGTTTAAGCCGTCGGCAAACGTTTTTGTCAAAATTAACTATTTTTAAGAGGTGGGCAAACGATTTTTTTTTAAATTCTTAAATTTCAGGAGATGGGCAAACATGGGCATCTTTTATTTTTTCGAAAAAACGATTTTTAAGGGGTGGGCAAACGTTTTTTGTTAAAAATCTCGTGTTTAAGCCGTCGGCAAACGTTTTTGTCAAAATTAACTATTTTTAAGAGGTGGGCAAACGATTTTTTTTTAAATTCTTAAATTTCAGGAGATGGGCCAACATGGGCATTTTTTATTTTTTCGAAAAAACGATTTTTAAGGGGTGGGCAAACGTTTTTTGTTAAAAATCTCGTGTTTAAGCCGTCGGCAAACGTTTTTGTCAAAATTAACTATTTTTAAGAGGTGGGCAAACGATAATTTTTTTAAATTCTTAAATTTCAGGAGATGGGCCAACATGGGCATTTTTTATTTTTTCGAAAAAACGATTTTTAAGGGGTGGGCAAACGTTTTTTGTTTAAAATCTCGTGTTTAAGCCGTCGGCAAACGTTTTTGTCAAAATTAACTATTTTTAAGAGGTGGGCAAACGATTTTTTTTTTAAATTCTTAAATTTCAGGAGATGGTCAAATATGGGCATTTTTTATTTTTTCGAAAAAACTATTTTTAAGGGGTGGGCAAACAATTTTTTCTGCAGGTAAATATGATCAAAACTTAAAAGTCGAATATTTTCAAAAGTATAAATATTTTCAAAATTCTAAAAGATGGGCAAACGTGGGCAAACGATTCTCTTGCGAAAAAAAAAAAAATTTGAAAAAGTCAACTTTTATGTTTTCGAAAATGTTCGAAAATTTTCGAAGATTCCATATTTTCAAAACTAACGGTGGGCAAAAAAAAATTAAAAAGTGGGCAAACATGGGCAAAAAATGGGCAAACGATTAAGCTATTCAATTTTCGAAAATTTTATTTTAGTCGACCCAACTTCTTTGAGCTGTCCTGAGTTGATATAAGCATGTCCGTCTGTCTGTCTGTCCGTCTGTCTGATTCAACGCGAACTAGTCTCTCAGTTTTAAAGATATCGAATTGAAACTTTGCACTCGCCCTTCGTTCCTTTGCACGCAGTATATAAGGCGGAACGGCCGGGATCGGCCGACTATATCCTATAGCCGCCATATAACTGATTGATCGGAAATACCATAACTTTGGTGTTTGTTAAGTTACGAAGTTTGGATTTTATATGGGTTTTATATTTGGCCAATCAATCCGACCTACTATAAAGATCGGCCGTCTATACCCTATAGCTGCCATATAACTGAACGATTGGAAATGCCATAACTTTGGTGTTTTTAAAGTTAGGAAGTTGTGATTTTTTATGAATATTAAGAATGCATCATATGAATAATTAACAGAATATTCTGCAATGGTATATCAACTTCGGCTCCGCCCGAAGTTAGCTTTCCTTTCTTATTTTTTTGTTCTTTCGGATTTGGTATTATTTAAATATTATGGAATTACGGTTTTAATTAAATTAAAATCGGACAACAAAATCATATAGATGGCATAGAAACGATGGCAAAATGCAGCTCAAAGTCGATACAGCTTAATTGTTTTTAGTAAAATAGGCATAGAAATCGAAACTAACAACTAACAACTGCAAGGGTATATAAACTTCGGCTTGCCGAAGTTTGCTTTCTTTCTTGTCAGTGATGAATTGTGTTATTTCCAGTTTATGCCGTGAAACACCCTTTTGCATTCCACATCGGTAGTCGTAGAGAAGACAAAGAATATTTCGACTGCTGAGACGCAAGAATCTGTGTCAGTATATTTTGATTTTGCGTAAAGATTTTTTTTTCATAAATGACATTATACTTTGTTGGAGTGTGTAGGGCGGGAGAGCAAGAGGCTGGGAGGTCTTTAAAAAAGTTTTTTCCGCTTCGATATCACGGGCTGAGAAATATTTTATCTTGTGTTCTATCACTTACTTTGTACAAAACACAAAGTATGTTAGCGATTTCAACGCTAATGATCCTATGATTTTTTCGCTTCTTTCGACTGTGTCGTCATAAAACTATTCTGATTAAGATTCAATAAAAAAAGTCCAAGAACATCGCGCGAATCTATAGTTAGCAATGACGACCCAGATTGGCTATTTGGTATTTGTTGGGATAAAGTCAATTTAAGGAGCTCGAGATGACAATTCTTTTTACTACTATGTAAACGACCTTTCTATTTTTTTTTAATTTAAGATTGTAATGTAGGCATATTGTAGGCATAAGCTCGTCGTGTTTGTGCGTGGTTTTTTGTAAGCTTTTTCGCTTAAGAGATTTCCTTTCATAATATACCAAAATACATTGGCCAAAGCCAATAATCGCAGACTTCAAATATTAATTAAAATACTTTAATTTTTACACAACTCTGATTAAAAAACCCTACGAAATAGAATCGTGTGTACGAAATTTCGCTCATGGAATATTCTGATGATATTTTTATATAGAGTCTGTTTGATCAAACAAGTTTTTGGCTTTACTAAATATTTATATTTACTATTATTAATATGAACTTCGACCCTTTAAATTAATTTAATTTAATTTATTTTCTTGCGACTAGTGCTATATACTAGTTAGCAACAATTATAATAAAATAAAACAAAAATAAAATTTATTACAAATTAAAACAATTCATTTTTTTTATTTGTTTTCCAGTTCACGTTCCGTAGCCAATTCGTTTCGAATAGTGGGCATTCGTTTGGAAGATGACACAGTTGAGGCACAGAACGGCATACCAAGTGTGTTAATAGACAAGCAACAAACTTTTCGAGTTTTTGGTAGCGGACTACAAAAAAATACTGCAATAACGTTTACCAACGAAAATAATGATTATGGTGGTGCATGTCTAAAGCCATCTACTGACCTGTTTACCCCTATAGAAGTGGCCAGCGATGGATTTTCAGCGACGTACTCAGTAAAATTTCCTTCTTTTATAAATGAATTTTATATTTGTGCAAAAACTGCTGAGAAAACAACAAATGTAAGTAATTTTCATTAACCAAGACCAACTCTGCTTAAACTCTGTTTTTATTAAATGGGTAGAGTATACATAATATCATTGTAGATAACTAAATTATAATATTCTATAAAAGGACTAAATAAAATAATATTACATATTTTAAAAGTTTTATGCGTTTGTGTAGCAAGTTTTTGTTTTCCTATTATCCTTGCAGAGGGTATTATAATTTCTGTCAAAAGTTTGCAACGCAGTAAAGGAGACATTTCCGACCCTATAAATATATATATATTCTTGATCAGCATTACCAGGAGAGTCGATCTAGCCATGTCCGTCTATCCGTCCGTTTATACGCAAACTAGTCCCTCAGTTTTAAAACTATCTACTTGAAACTTTCCCAAAAGTGGTCTTTCTATTGCAGATACGAGCCGGATCGGGCGACTATATCATACAACTCCCACAGGAACAACCGAAAAAAATTTTTTTTTTCAAAAATTATAACTTTGTTGTTTTAAAATTTTTTTTTCTTATTACGGAATTACGGTTTTAATTAAATTAAAATCGGACAACAATAGCATATAGCTGGCATAGAAACGATGGCAAAATGCAGCGCAAAGTCGACACAGCTTCATTGTTTATAGTAATAAAGGTATAGAAATCGAAATATTGTCGATTTGTAATAACTGCAAGGGTATATAAACTTTGGCTTGCCGAAGTTTGCTTCCTTTCTTGTTTTCGATTAATATAATGTTCATGTCTTAAATCCACGGACAGACGGGCAAGGCTTGATTGACTCGACTGTTCATTAACTAAGAATATAAATATGATAGTGATAGACTTTTGCTAGCATTTAGTAAAATACACTTTTCTTCGTTTCTCAGATTCGTTAATTAAAGCATACATTTCTGCATACTGTGCGGACACCAGACTTTCCTTCGCTGTTTACAAACACTAACTTGACCAAAATTGATTTAAAAACAAGAAAGGAAAGCTAACTTCGGGCGAAGCCGAAGTTGATATATCCTTCCAGAATATTCTGTAAATTATATTCTCCAAAATTATTCATATGATGCATTCTTAATACTCATAAAAAATCCCAAATTCCTAACTTTACAAACACCAAAGTTATGGCATTTCCGATCGTTCAGTTATATGGCAGCTATATAATATAGTCGCCCGATCCGGCTCGTTCCGCAATAGAAAAACAACTTTTGGGAAAGTTTCAAGCAAATAGCTTTAAAACTGAGGGACTAGTTTGCGTAGAAACGGACGGACGGACAGACGGACATGGCTAGAACGACTCTTCTGGTGATGCTGATCAAGAATATATATACTTTATAGGGTCGGCTATGTCTCCCACACTGCGTTGCAAACTTTTGACTGAAATACCCTCTTCAAGGGTATAAAAAATTAAATGCGAAAATCGATCCAAAAACTTGAACAATTTAAAAGCCAGTAAGCGTTTTGTTTGTTCTGTCAGCGGTTGTCCGTTGTCTTCGGTCTAAAAAAACTGTAAAATAAAACGATATTTCTTATTTTTTTTTAGTATAGCAAAGCCGCAACTACGAAGCCTTTAGAGCATCAAGGAAATTCAGATTGTTTGAAGATAAAAACTCATAAACCATTATTACCAGTGTGGCTGGCAATAATTATTATTGTAACATGTCTGTGCTTTTCGGCTTTATTCTCTGGACTTAACCTGGGCTTAATGTCAATGGACCGCACAGAATTAAAGGTGATATAAATAACTTGATTTAGAGCGATTTATAAAATTGTAATATTATAGATACTGCGGAACACTGGTACGGAAAAAGAAAAAAAATATGCATCAAAAATTGCACCTGTTCGAGATCAAGGTAATTATCTATTGTGCAGTATTCTCTTGGGTAATGTGTTGGTTAACTCAACCTTTACCATTCTGCTGGATGGTTTAACTTCTGGACTGTTTGCTGTTATATTCTCCACATTGGCCATCGTACTTTTTGGGGAAATTACGCCACAGGTAAGTTATGGGTCAATATCTTCTACTTTTAAAGAAACGATCTTGCCAAATTCACTGATATATTTTATATAAAGGAGTTTTGAGGGGAACTTATTTGTCTTTGCACTGTTTTATACTCTTGCAGAGTATAATTTAGGTAAGAAGTTTGAAACACAGTGACTTTAAATTTCGCAAAAAATTCAGCAGATCGGGAGCCTGTATTTTATAGTTTTCATAGAAACCAACTGGTGAAGAAGAGTATTTGAGTATTAGCCGTCAATTTCTTAAGCTTTCTAACATTTTAGAGGGTTTTAAATTATCCAAATTTCTCACTTTTTTGCCTAAAATGATGGTGTTATACATCCTTTGAGTTGATCATATTCTATAGCTGTCTTATCCTTTATTATTTTATTTTTTTTTTCGCTTCGTGCGAAGTCTCACGGCTTACAACCAACCGACTGGGTGATGCAGCACAATAATACGATAAATAGAGAAGTCCGGGGAATAAAGTAAGATCTAATTTTGTGCTCATGAAGTAAGTATTAATCGTTTTAAAGCAGCAGAGTCAAGATTTAAGATAATACGAAACTCCTATTATAGTCAGAACATAATACTCTGAAAGGCTCATGCAAGTTATAGTTAGATCTACGATGGTTTAATATTAGGGGAGTAAAATTTTCAGTTATTCTACAATACTTGGCACAGAAAAGTTTAGCCGACCTACCAAGTCGGTGCTGTTAATCTTACCATGAATAAGGTCATAAATTCAGACATTACAAAGCATCGTTATTCGGTTGTTTAAGGAGGCTAAATTAATTATCGGTTGTCTACTAGAATTAGAATGTAAGTTCATATTTGCATCCCAATTTAGAGGCCTTAAAGCTAAAAGTAGACAGTTTCTTGCATGAAGTCAAAATGTATTCCGTATTTTAAACTTTAGTTTTCGGTCCAAAAGAACACCAATATCGTTTATATGAGTTATTTTATCCAAAGATCTGCCACGGTATGAAGTCATCATATTGTACTTAGAGCCGTTTAAATTCAGTAAATTATTCCGGCACCAGTTTTGAAAGCTATTTAGATCGCTGGACTTTAGAAAGATAATTTTTAAACACGACTTTTTGTGTCTTCCCACTCAGATAACTTGAGATCCATTTAACTACATTAACTAATTTACAGAGTCAAATGATTATCTAAAGTCATTGTTAACGTCTGTTTGGGAACTACTTTTAAAGCCCTTTATCAAAGATGAAGTGAGCTTCGAAAGATTATTAGTTATTGTACTGATCTATAATCTACACGGTGATATAATTGATCTAAGCATGTTTTGTAAATAAGGGGTAATAATATTTTCAAAAAGCTTAGAAATATCCGACAACACTTTAATCACAAGAATCTAACTTGTTACATTTTTTTATAAAGAGGAATTACAAATGATTCCTTCTAAATAGGGAAAATTTTAAAGTTTCTAGAGATAAGATAAACAATTTGAAAAGGGTTTCCGCAATGTTTAGGAATACCATTGGGAACTTGTCGCTTTCTAGACCATTTTGGTGGCACTGGAGTGTACATTTTTATACCCTTGCATACCCTCTGCCTATACCCTATAATTTTGGTCAAAAGTGTGCAACGCAGTGAAGGAGACATCTCCGACCCTATAAAGTATATATATTCTTGAACAGGATCACCTCCTGAGTTGATATAAGCATGTCCGTCTGTCCTTCTGTCTGTTTCTACGCGAACTAGTCTCTCAGTTTTAAAGATATCGAATTGAAACTTTGCACACACCCTTCTTTCCTTTGCACGCAGTATATAAGTCGGAACGGCCGGGATCGGCCGACTATATCCTATAGCTCCCATATAACTGATTGATCGGAAATGCAATAACTTTGGTGTTTGTAAAGTTAGGAAGTTGGGATTTTCTATGGGTTTTATATTTGCCAATCAATCTGACCTACCAAATTTCATAAGGATCGGCCGACTATATCCTATAGCTGCCATATAACTGATTGATCGGAAATGCCATAACTTTCGTGTTTGTAAAGTTAGAAAGTTGGGATTTTCTATGGGTTTTATTTTTGGCCAATCAATCAATTCAAGGTCGCGTGTGGCGCGACGCGGCTGACGGACTTATTGCGGTACAGTGTGGAGCCCAAAGTTTTCATCTGAAACATACAACAAACATTTTTTATTATTCAGCAGGGTTCCCCCGAGTGCATGAATGTCTGCAACTTCAAAAAATTCGATTTTAAAATATTGAAATCACGTCTTGAAAAAAAAGTGCCATTTTTTGTCTTTTTTTGTTGCTGAATTGGGCTGAAAAGTGTATAAAATAACTTTTTTTCACAATTTCAGATATTCATGCACTCGTTCAATGTATAATCTGCAAAACACTTTTTAGAAATCAAGTAGTTCAGTAGTTTTTTCGTAATCGTGTACCGCGTTTTTAAAATCATAGTTTTGAGAAAAAACGGTTTAAAGTTTTGGGTTAGTGGCCAAATCGCACACAAAGCGCGCCCGAGCGCGCTCGTTCAATCACTCATATTTTTCATAATATTGAGAGTTGAGTCATAAAACTTCGGGAATATACTGTCAAAACGTTATTCTATCGATCTATGAAAATAAAAAAAAACGATTATTTTTAAAATTTTACATGAGAAGCCCCCTTAAACTAGAACGGAACCTCCGGCGTGCTTAACCTTTGGTCTAGCATTTTTTATCTTAAGTTCATTACCGCGCTTTTCCCTATCCAATAGATCCAAATACATTAAATTTGTCTTCAGCACTAAATATTAATTGTTCCAAGTAATATAAATTCCGGGCTAAATGGGATTATGCAAAAAAAACCTCTTTGATATATTAATGGATAAGAGCAAGGGTATCTCCCATGTAAATCATGGCTTCTAAGCACTCTTCGGACGTTTTCAGTGAATACGTTTGTTCATAGGGATGGGGATATGGCGGTATAAATTTTTCAAGCCGATAGATGCGGGTTTTTCTTTTTTTCCAAAGGATTTACCTTTCTTCTCAGTTTGTTAATGATTTAAGACGGCGAGAACGGGGTAGTTTCTGGAGAATTTCTGTATTTTTGTAAACTCCGTTCCTTTTGTCATTTTGTTAAAGTTAAAGTTTGTGTTTTTCATCGAATTCAGTCCTTAAAATAGAATCGCAACTAAATTTAAAAAAATGCGCTAGTCCCAAAAAAATATAGACAAGGAATATTTTTTATATGCAACGAATACTTTTGTGAGCATACAAAACTGTTTTGTTTTATATTTTTGACAATAACTTTTTATGGAAATGTTTTCAGTTCTTTTTTTGTGATATACTACTCAAAACCATTTTTCTTATTTTTATAATGATTACTTGTTTAAAATTGGAATTTTTCTCCTAACCTTTTTTGCAACGAATACTTTTGTGACTCACTGTATATGTAGACGCGTTGTTAAAATAGATCGTAATAAGTTGCCATATGCGTTTTTTTGAGCTAGTATGACCGCAGATCTACTACAAACTAGAACTATGAAGAAATGATTGATTGACTGAAAATCAGTCTGTTTTTCCTCCTATTCTTTTTTGTTTACAGTTCAGGTAGTGCCTGTAAGGACACCAATAAAGATAGAGATATCCAATGTTTAGCTTAGACATTTCCTTATAAGGTAAATACCGCTAAACGCATGGACTAGCGTGATGGAATGTACACTTTGTGTGTTTGGTGAAGTTTATAATAAGAGTGTCGTTTTCTGCTATACTGGGTAAGATTTAGAGATTTATTAGGGTAGATGCCTGGCCAGTGGGTCTTGATAGCCAGGCAGCCGACATACGCAAAATCAATGCGGGTGCTGCGACGTATCAGACAGTTCCAGTGCATGAATTGCATCACTGAGGAATAGTTCAGTGCTTCGTGTAGCTCGTGTGCTTGTTTTGTTGTTACTTTTTTTCACAAAATGATGATCCCATACAGTCTTCTGTCTGGTCTTACTATTGCTGTACATAATATATATAGAAGGGGACAGTCCAAAGCTACGCCCTATTACTTTTGCTCGCACTGACAGTTTTTTGGCAGCCGAAGTTTATATAAACCTTTGCAGTTATTACAAATCGATAACATTTCGATTTCTATGCCTATATTACTAAAAACAATGAAGCTGTGTCGACTTTGCGGTGCATTTTGCCGTTGTTTCTATGTCAGCTATATAACATTGTTGACCGATTTTAATTTAATTGAAACCGTAATTCCATAATATTTAAATATTACCAAATCCCAAAGAACAAACAAAAATTAAAATTAAACAAAGTTATAATTTTTTTGATTCTTTTTCCGATTGTTTCTATGGGAGCTATATGTTATAGTCGATCTTGCTCGTTCTGACTTATATACTACCTGCAATAGAAAGACAACTTTTCATGCAGATAGTTTTAAAACTGAGGGACTAGTTTGCGTAGAAACGGACAGACGGACATGGCTAGATCGACTCTCCTAATGATGCCGATCAAGAATATGTAAACTTTATAAGGCCGGGAATGTCTCCTTCACTGCGTTAAAACTTTTGACTGAAATTATAATCAATACGCTCTGCAAGAATATAAAAAGGAAAATTGCTATTACTCAAAACTAAACCAACATTCTTATAGACTCACTCGAAGTCTCACAAGAACACACACATTGACGTCTGCTCAGTATTTACCCCTTGACATATTTTAATTATTTACAAGTAATGAGCTTGGATGCAATATTTGCCTGATCAGAAATATTTGGGATGAGCTGTTTATGCTCGAGTAATGGGACCTGAATAATTTGTTTGCTTTGTTGCTGTGAGCTACTTGCGATGAGCTATTTTCAACTAGTCGTTATAATTCCAAAGCCATGTACAAACAGATTAATATTATTTTTTAAGCTAGTGTAATAAAATTCTATAGTTTTAGTATAAACAGTGAAAACTTATTGTTGGTTTAAGGGGGTATATACCTTTTTAATTTTCAAAAAATCGAAATTTTTTTTTTGCTTTATCTTAAAAAACAACTTTTTGAGAATATTTCCCAAAATTTTTATAGAGATTTGAGCAGTAGAAAAAAAGTTACAGCGCTCCTAGCCGCGCGCCTCTTCCCCGTCCAAACCCAAACTTGAAACTTTAAACGCGAATAACTCGAAATGGTTTTTTTTTAAATGACTTTGCGGTGATATAAATTGGCGAAAAACTACTGAACCGATTTTCTTCAAATTTTTTTTTAAATGTTCCAAATGAATTTTATTAGTACTTGAACGATCGTTTTTTTATGTAAAAATTTGTATTTCGCCGAAATAGATAGTTTTGTAAGAATTTTTGCGTCCAAAAACGTCATTTTTGCATTAAACGTTCCCGCATGCACAAAAAAAAAAAAAAATTTTAAAAACGTTCGTTCAAGTACAGGATACTACTTTAAACTAATGAAATATTTTTATTTTTTCGGTATCAGTTGACCCATTCGTCCTGGGGAATTATCACCGCAAGGGTCTTAAACAAAAAGGCGTTTAAGGGAAACAGCCACACCTTAAAAACTATTAAATATTTTTTCAAAAATTTTTGCATAAACATTGTCAACAATATAAACTTTCAGAAAAATATAATCATTCATTTAATAAAAACAATAGTTACATACATAATAAAAATCCAAACTTTCTTATTTTTTTCGACAAAAAAAGGTATATACCCCCTTAATACATAACTAATTTATATTTTGATATTGCTATATAATGTATAGCAGTCTTATGAACGATTGGTAAAGTGTATTTTTACGTGGTCCAATCGAGGCGAAACTTTACAATTGTTCATTACATCAAAAACATAAAAATGTGAACACTAAAACCCTTTAAAAAAACTTTGAAAAACATACGCAAGTCCATATTAAAATTTTCGTACCATCTATCATTTAGTAAACTGATAAATTTTTTTTAAAATTACAGGCTGTCTGTTCAAGACATGGTTTGGCCATTGGAGCAAAGACCATTTTAATAACAAAAACTGTTATGGCTATAACAGCACCACTCTCTTATCCAGTTTCGCGTATTCTTGATAAGTTATTAGGCGAAGAAATTGGAAATGTTTACAACCGTGAACGTTTAAAAGAACTTGTTCGTGTGAGTAAAAATAGTTTGTTTTGTATATGCTGTTTTTAACTTTGTTCACATTTATTATTTAGGTTACTAACGATGTTAACGATCTTGATAAAAATGAAGTTAACATCATATCTGGAGCTCTAGAATTACGTAAAAAAACAGTTGCTGATGTAATGACGCACATAAATGATGCTTTCATGCTGTCATTAGATTCTTTACTTGATTTTGAAACTGTGTCTGAAATTATGAATTCTGGTTATTCACGTATTCCGGTATACGATGGCGATAGAAAAAACATTGTGACGTTGCTATACATTAAAGATTTGGCTTTTGTTGATACCGATGACAACACGCCTTTAAAAACTCTATGCGAATTTTATCAAAATCCAGTTCATTTCGTTTTTGAAGATTATACTTTAGACATTATGTTCAATCAATTTAAAGAAGGAACAATAGGGCACATCGCTTTTGTTCATCGCGTAAATAATGAGGGCGATGGAGACCCATTTTATGAAACTGTAGGTTTGGTTACACTGGAAGATGTTATTGAAGAACTGATTCAAGCTGAAATCGTGGATGAAACCGATGTGTTTGTTGATAATCGTACAAAAACCAGACGAAACCGATATAAAAAAGCAGACTTTTCGGCTTTTGCGGAACGTCGAGAAGTGCAAACCGTACGGATTTCTCCTCAATTAACATTGGCTACTTTTCAGTACTTAAGCACTGGTAAAATAAACTTTGAATTATTAATACAAATTTTTAACTATAAAAAAACAATTCTTAGCTGTCGATGCCTTTAAAAAGGATGTAATTTCGGAGCCCATTTTGCGAAGATTACTTAATCAAGACGTTTTCCACAATATAAAAACAAAAGGAAAAAGTAAAGACGACACAAGCCTTTATATTTTCACACAAGGAAAAGCTGTCGACTTTTTTGTACTTATATTGGAGGGTCGGGTGGAAGTCACAATTGGCAAGGAAGCCCTTATGTTTGAAAGTGGCCCCTTTACCTATTTCGGAACTCAGGCGTTAGTGCCAAATGTGGTCATTGGTAAGTTAAAATTTTTTTTAAAAGACTGATTTCTTTACAGAAAAAAGCATATAATAATGGTTTTATATGCACGATTTTATTATATATATGCACGTTGCTGCACGAAACTATAGGAAAGACATCAATTGACACGAAAGAATGCTAGCTTGTTATAAATGCCGATGCAGTTACTGCCAATATTGGTATAAAAAGCATACATCTTAAAAAAAAAAGGTTTGAAAATTGGGCTCTGGCCAGTCCGATCATTTTTATGCAAGCTATTGAAATAGTTTAGTGAGTAAAATAAAAGGCAGCATTGCGATCAAGAAACAATCTCCTGTTTTAGTGTGTGTTTAACATAGATAATTCAGTGTATCAAAATTCTTAGCAAAGGTAATTTATTGTACAAGAGAAACACACCAAATACACCAGTGCTGCCAATATAGCTTTTTTCTCGTCAAATCAGGCTTTTATCAAAGAAAAATTTGGGAATTGCGGGAAGCGGGAATTCTGGATTTTTTAAAAAGCCTTTTTTTTTAATGCTGCCACAAATTTCATGAAAAGACACAAAAAATAAAATTTTTGATAAAGCTGTGGATAAAAAGTGTACTAACGCAGTTACACCCACCAGTTTTTGTACAAATGTACCAAATGTGTATAGAAGTGGCAACATAATCATATGTTTTTGTCGATATTTGCCAATACTACCATCGTTATTTTACGTTAAACTACTACCATCACAATATAAAAAGTGCGCGTAAGTGGTGATCAACCCGTATTTCACAATGCCCAAAGAAAAATTGTTTGCGCGTTTTTTGCGTTTTTTCTGATTATTTTCAGCTTTTTTTTCTTTTTCTCCAGTTAAAAACGTTTTTTTTTTCAAAAGTTGGCACTGATTTACATAGTGGAAATTCAAATAAACTTTCCAATTTCCCAAACTTGGAAGGAATCAAAAATCTTGTTCAACTTTAAAGAACTTATATTTTAATATGCAAAGCAGTGAATAATTAGGATCAAAAGCCAAGTTTAATCTTGTCATTTCCCTTTTTACAAATATAAGTAGTCTCTCAGTTGTAAAGTTATGATGAAGAAACTTACAAAATGTATTTTTTTCATATATGTACGTGTATTATAAGCTGTGTTTAATGAAATAGTACTAGTACAGCTTACAACTATCTTTCGAAGAGGGCCAACATGCAATTCTGTTGTGACGCTTGTATCGAGGTTTCGAACGATGTAAAATCGTTCACCCGCCAAACTAAGGGCGGCTTGAAGGAACTGATAAGCTGCTTCGGCGTTGCTAAAGATAGCTTTTTCCTCTCTGAGTTAGAATTTCCGTTCAATAGCCGTACGCTATTGGAAGAGTCCCGAAGCCGCAAAAAAACTTCTGGATTTGGTATTCGAACTAGTGGTTCCACCTAATTATACCCGTTACTCGTAGAGTAAAAGGGTATATTGTATTCGTGCAAAAGTATGTAACAGGTAGAAGGAAGCGTTTCCGACCCTATAAAGTATATATATTCTTGTTCAGGATCACTAGCCGAGTCGATCTAGCCATGTCCGTCTGTCCATCTGTCTGTCTGTCCGTATGAACGCTGAGATCTCGCTGAGCTAGAAGATTGGCATTTTGCATGTAGATTTTAGGAGTGCTTACGCAGCGCAAGTTTGTTTCAAAATGGTACCACGCCCCCTCTGCCCACAAGCCACAAGCAGTGCCCACAGTTTTGATGCTATTATGAAAATTTTAATTGATATGTATTTCTTTCGTCAATACCTATCGATTGGCCTAATAAAAGTTTGCCACGCCCACTCTAACGCCCATAAACCCATTAAACGCATTAACCTGGCTAGCGCCTACATTTCCGCCTTTCATGGCCCGTGGTACCACGGAAGCGCCATCTAACGGATGACTTTGGAACAGCTGGCCAAGGTGCTAATTCGAGCGACGAAAAACATACAAGAAGGCATATTTATATTAAGTTGTTTAGCTGAGTAAGGGGTATCTAATAGTCGAGGCGCTCGACTATAGCGTTCTCTCTTGTTTTTAAACTATACATATACCTCCACAAGGGAATACAGAGTCCGGACTACCGGTCCAAGCTGGTTCTGCAGAAACACAGTTTGCACTACCAAAATTACTTTCTGTAATCCTACCAAAGAAACAAATATAAGTTTCTCGGCTTTTCCTGATCAAATATTTTCTAATGTATTGTATTATATATAAAACAAAACTAAAGCAAGACAAACTAAGAGTTCGAGGTTAAGATAAAAAAGAACGGGCCCTTGAACATACATTATTTGACTTTTAAAATGAACGGTCGTGTTTTTTTTTCTCCGCTCCTATTTTGTATTTTTGTTTCGTTTTTCCCTTCGGTGGGTTTTATCAAAACAATTTTCATTTTCTTCGAGTTATTTAAACATACATTTAAATTCCGTTCGCTTCGCGAGTGAACTATAAATCTTTGTACACTTAATAATAATAATAATAATACTAACAAATTGTTTTAATTTCGTAATTCTGTTCTGTGTTTTCTTTTCTTGTAACCCCGCCGGTTTTCTTTTGTGCGTTGATCGTCGTAAGTTGTAGTGCTGTTTTTAGTGTTGCTTTTGCATGCACTTTAACTAATTTACGCTCCCGCTCTCTTGCTCTCTTTGCTTTGAAAGTTCTAAGCGTGCAGTTTCTGCGCTCTTGCGGTACTTATAACACCTCGCTTATAAATTTCAATACGTTTTCTTGGTACAGTGGTTCCAATAGGTAAAATTAATAATAATAATTTAGTCTGCTTCTGCAAAAAATGCAGCCTCGTAATCAAGGCTGACCAATCTAATATGACTTGTTGGCTGTGTGAAAACATGGTGGACACCAAGTGCGCTGGTTTTACTGGCCGGACAAGTGATGACCTTTCAAAGGGGACGCTTGTGTCAAGGTTGCGAACGAGATGAAATCGTCCATGCGCAGGATTCGCAGTTTAATAGCCGTAAGCTATTAGAAGAGCCCCCTAAACGCCAAAAAACTGGTGGTAAGCAGCAAAAGTGAACACCCCGCAACCTCAATCAAAAGAACAACAGAGCATTTCGGCGGATCAGCAGCTGATTGCAGCAAAGCCTCAAATGTTGCTAACATCAGCAGCTAAAAAGATTCGGTTTTCGAACAATCCGTAGTAGAATTCATGCAACCAGGGACTTCTAAGAATTCAGATTTTTCCGCAGTGGTTTAACACTTAGTGGATCCACCTCCCTCAAACCGCCACAAGGGACTACTGAGTCCGGTGTGCTTCTGTACAGAATCCATCATACTATTGAAGAGACAATTAACAAGGGTACAGTAATAGAAGACAAATCAGATAAGTCAACCAAATAAATTGTTTTCAAGGTAATTAATTTTATTACTGCCTGATCTTTACGCATGCAATAATATTTTTACTTGCAATAAAATTGTTTGTTCTATTATTATTTGCCAGAGCCCGATGGTATTCTTAGGTGCGTGCTTAGGTAAAACCCTGTGCAAACCCTTCTCAAATAATAATTTTCCCATATTAGGAAGAAATCTTTTGCAATTCCTCTTCAGAAGACAGATATCAGGTTAGATTCATAAACTTTTTAAAAATAGTATTACTCCTCATTTACAGCACCTTTGAACATCAAATATGTCTCCGTGTCAACACCGATTTATAGATCAGATCAACAACGACTAACAGTTTGGAGCGCACCTCATTTGTGAAAAATTCAATAGTAGTTCGCAAACAGACGTAAATTACTCTGACTTTATTAAAGCATTGGACTCTGTAAATCCTTTTTAACAATGCTCATGGTTAACAAAGCTAGAGGTGTGCTTCGAGTAAGACTTTATTTATTTCACTAGCCCGCTCTATTCTGGACTATGGGTCCCCCGTCTAGAAACAAATACGAAATATACATGACCCCATTGAATCTCTTTTATACCCTTGCAGAGGGTATAATAATTTTCTTACGCAGTGAAGGAGATGTTTCCGACTCCATAAAGTATATATATTCTTGATGGGGATCAATCGAGGAGGGGAGTCAATATAGCCATGTCCGTCTGTTTCAATACCGTTTGCGAGCTCAGTTTAAAAGCTTGCGATCTGAAACTTTCACAGTAATCCTAAAACATGTGTACGCAGGTAAAGTTTGAAAAGCGCCCCGGTCGGACGTCTATATTCTATAGCTCCCCATCGGATATACCTAGCAGGAATTGATGATATTTAGCGCAGTGTAAATTGACAAGAATCTTTCCAAATCGTATTTTTGTATGCATACCTTGATCAGGGTAAAAGCGCGTGCCGATCGGACGTCTATATCCTATTGCTCCCATAGGTACAAGGAATAATAGGGTGAAATCGGTTAAAATTTAATGATTTTCATGATATTTCGCGCAGTATATAAGCTATTGAGATGAATTTTTCCAAATCGTATTTTTGTATGCATACCTTGATCAAGGTAAAAGCGCTTGACGATCGGTCGTCTATATCCTATAGCTCACATTGGAATAATAGGGTGAAATCGGTTAAAATTTAATGATTTTAAGGATATTTCGCGCAGTATATAAGCTATTGACATAAATCTTTCCAAGTCGTATTTATTTACGCATACCTTGATCAGGGTAGAAGCGCTTGCCGATTGGGCGTCTATATCTTATAGCTTCTGAAGGAAATAATCCTTTTTTTCTATTTTTATATGACATTTTTACAGTATAAAAGCTATTGACATGAAACTATGCAAATCTTATTTATTTAAGTATACCTTATTCTTTTCGCTACTTTTTAAATTTTAGCAATTTCGGCTAGGTCTGCAAGGGTATTAAATCTTCGGCTTGCCGAAGTTAGCTTCCGTCCTTGTTTGCTTTACTGTGCCAAAAAAAAGTTGATACGATCATATTTTGACAAGTTTTTAAACCATTTACCTTTTTGCAACGTGTTTTCTCATTCCAAATGCACCATGAACGAGATTGACCAATTCCCTCAAAAAAAAAACACTTTCGGATTTACCGTGCCTTTTTTCGT